TTTGTGTTTCCTTTTTCCTGTTAGTCACTCTTTTGTATTAGCTAACTATTGAAATGCATTGTGTCTCTTCAGCTTCTAGAGTGTCTCTAGGGTTGATGCCTAGAGAGGGAACTAGTAACTGACCAGTTTGTCAAATTAACTGGCTCTTCTAGACCAGTAGTCTTTTTTTTTTTTCTTTTTTGTAGTCTTGTATTTTTTTTTTTCGACCTGTCTTCATCACCTCTCACAGTGTTGTGAATGGTATTTGCCATTCTCTCTATTCAGTTCCCAATTTTTGAAACCAGTAAGTGGAAATATTGCTTCAAACAGCACAAAGTACAGCCTGGCCTACTTCTAAGTTTTCAGCAGGCTTCATGTGTCCATTGACAGATCCTGGAAAGCTTCCCAAAGCATGTTTTTTTTCCCCAAATATCTGCACAGAAGCCACATGCAAAATATAGAAGTTGCAGCTGAGCACTGTGTGAAAGTTCTATGGCTATAGAAATCACCAGAACAGAAGCAAACTTTTTGAAATGTGTGTATGCATGCGTGTGTGTATGTGTGTGTGTGTGTGTGTGTGTGTGTCTGTGTGTGTCTGTGTGTGTGGTGGATGTTTCTGTGTATATGTGTGTGAGTGGGTGCACGTGCCCATGCATGCACATGTAAAGGTCAGAGGAGGAGGCAGGGGTTCCTGCTCTATCATGCTCCACCTTATTCCTCTGAGGCAGGGTCTCTCATTGAACTTGGATCGCACTGGGTTTTGGCTAGACTGGCTGACCAGCAAGTCCCACCTGTCCTGTCTCTTACCCCAAATCGGTCAGTATTGGGGTTATAGGCAATTCATGGTCATGCATGACATTTTATATTGGTGCTAGGGAGCCAAGCACAGATCCTTGTATTCATACAGCAAACATCCTTACTCACTAAGGCATCTTCCTAGAAGCAATTTTTAAATTATTTTTATGTGTACAAGTGTATTTCCTGCATGTCTGTGAGTGCACTCGTGTCATACAGTGCCATGGAGGTCAAAAGAGGGCGTCAGATTCCTCTGGAACTGGAGCTAAGGACGATTCTTAGCCACCATATGGGTGCTGGGAATCAAACCTGGGCCCTCTGCAAGAGCAGTCAGTGCTCTTAACTGCTGAGCCAATTCCAGAAGCAAACTTTTAAGCCATAAATGATTTGGATTTCATCCAAAGACTTCTTATACTTGAATGCATCTATGGACTATAAATTAAGATAATTTTGGACCAAAACCATATATGTTGCAAACAATCCATCTGTTCCTTCAACCAGTAGGAGATGATGTTCTGGTGTCCTTTAAGTTAAAAACAAAGCGGGAGAATAATTATACTTTGAGGAGCAAGATTATGTAGTGGGGCCAGCAAAGATAATAATTTGAAAAGCACGTGTTGAGGAATTTCATCAAATCTTAACCCAGTCATGGCTGTCGTTTGAATGTGAAATGTCCTCATAAGCTCCTGTATTTGAACACTTGGTTTCCAGCCAGTAACATTGTTTTGGAACATTGTGAAGACTCAGACTTGCTGGAGGAAGTGGGTAACTGTGAGGGGGTCCTTGGAGTTTTATAATGTGCCCTATTTCCTGCCCATTCTCTGCTTCCAGATTGTAGACACAATGTGACCCTCATGGTCCTACAGTGGTAACTTTCTTGTCAAGATGGACTGTATTCCTTCTTTTTTTAAAAAAATTACAATATTATTTATTCTTTGAGAATTTCTTAGATGTATTTTGATCTTAATCACCCCCTACTTCCCTCTCTAATTCCTCCCCAAATCCCATCAACACATCCTCCACCCAACTTTGTGTCTTTTTTAAACCATTGAGTCCAAAGACTGTTTCCCTTGTTTAAAAATTTAAAAAATTTTATGTATATAAGTGTTTTGATTGTATGTATGTAAAGGCACCCATGTGTGCAATGCCCGTGGCAGTCAGAAAGTGTTGGATCCCCTGGAGCTGGAGTTACCAATGGTTGTTAGCTGCCATGTGGGTGCTGGAACTGAACCCAGGTCCTCTGCAAGAGCAACCAGTGCTCTTAACCACTGATCCATCTCTCCAATCCCAACTATGTCCCTTCTTAAACCATCCCAAAACTGATGTTCCTCCCTAAGATTGCTTCTTATCAGGTATTTAGTCACAGTTATAAGAAAAGTAACTAATGTGCCCTTCACTGTGATGTGCAGATGGTTTACTCATCTTCCTTTCCGAATACCCCTTTTGCTATGCAGGTATTGTTTTGGAGTAAAGCTGGGTCTATGCTTAGGAGCATGGTTCAAGTGTGAGAGGCCTGTGTGTTAACTTTGGTTAGCCTGTCTGGTAGAGTTGAATTGAGACGTATTTCTTAATATATTCCAGATTTTTTTTTAAATTAAAAACATCTCAACTGCCTTTATTGGATTTCTATTCAACACTTCACTAACATAGCCTGAGATTTTGTGGCAAATTTTCCTAATTAAAAGATAATAGATCTCTTCAGCAATGGAGACACTACAGTAACATTAGGTGGCATTGCTGGTCAATAGGGGAAGAGGGATGGCTCAGTTTGAGTCTCAGTGGAAGGATTTCTGGGAAAGTTAGACAGTAGAATGCATTGAATTTCTGTAAGTGGAAAATGGGCATTGATCAGGACCATAAGAGACTGGCTGGCCAATACTTAAGATAAAGTAAAAGTCTGAACTCTTCAAAGATACTTGCTAGTCTGAGCGGAGGAAGATATAACATGAGAAAGATTTTCAGACACAACTTTCTTATAATTTCAAGGATTATGCGTTTTTTTTGTTGTTGTTGTTCAATAGTTCATGCTATTTGGAGCTATTAAGATGTTAATTCCTTGTCCAGAACAAAAATAAAATGAAAGTTCTTAATTTGCAAATGTGGCTTCCTACCTTCTTTTGCCTCGTGTGCATGTATTATCATTCTTTTTCTTAATGTTTCCAGTTGATTACCATGCCCCTATGCTCCACACTTATCATTCTATAAAATCAGTTTTATATAACCCTGAGGTAGGAGTAAGGCACCTGGCTTTCCCTTTCAAAATAACAAATGGAGTTTTCAAGTGTACCTGATTACTTCTTTAATTATTATATTTGATCTCCACTTTAAATATATATATTTTATTATTATTATTATTTTTTTTTTCTATGTATCAGTGTATTGCCTGCATGTATGTGAGTGCACCCGTGTCGTGCAATGCCGGGAAGTCAGAAGAGGGCTTCAGATTCCCCTGGAACTGGAGTTAAGGACAGTTCGTAGCTGCCATGTGGGTGCTGGGAATCGAACCCGGGTCCTCTGCAAGAGCAGTCAGTGCTCTTAACTGCTGAGCCATCTCTCCAGCCCCATATATATTTATTTTTATTTCATATGGTTGCATATATGCCTGCATATATTTATAGGCATCACGTGCACGGTGGTGCCCACAGAGTCCAGAAGAGAGATCTGGATAATCCTGAAACTGGAATTATACGTGATTGTGAGCCATCTGATGTGAGTTCTGGGAATCCAGGTCCTCTGGGAGAGCAGAAATGCTCTTAAAGTCATATCTCCAGCCTTGATGTCCACTTTTTATGCATCATCTCATTTTTAAGCTGGAAGTGTTAAGTCCTATGAGAAGCAGTGAGTAAGCTGCATTATAGCCAATCAAGGACCATTGTTTTACACATCATTGTTTACGAAATGAATCCCAGATAAAACATTGTGCAGATATTGTTCTGAGCTGGTTTCAGATGACAGGAACTCTTTGAGTGCACCTGGGAAAAGAGCTCACATTCATTTATCACCTTCGGCAACATGTGCCATTTTGTTTTCCAACCCCAAAGATACTGGTGGTTGAGTTTTTCACTTAGGTTTTGATTTTCACCTATGTCACAGACATGAATTCACCAGTGCTAATAGATGACTTGTGGCAGGATGCAGATGTGAAACATCTGTAGTCCCCATAAACAACGGAAGATGGAAAGAATGCGACAGGCAGACTCATGATGACAAGCACTTTTTGCAGACTCATGATGACAAGCATTTTTATCATGTCTTTTCCAATGTCTTTCCTGCCTTCAGGAATCATGATACCCATTTGTCCTCAAAGACCTATTTTGGATAATTTTATAGTAGAAACTCAAAGGAGGTGGGTAGCTACCTGCATACAAGTGTCTGTCTTGAAGAATTAGATTTTATGGCGTGGGAAATTATCTTTGTTCTTCAAGATCCCAAGGACACAACTATCTGTTATTTCTGTTGTCTGCAGCATTCAGGGAAAGATGTGCCCCCCCCCAACATCCTTTCTGGACAGGTTCCCCAGATCTCATGAGGCAATGATTTAGGGTATTACCACATCATGTGAAGCATGAACAAATTGCTCTTGTCCCCTTCATTAGCTCATCACAGTTAATCCTCAGGTTTTCCATTTAATGGTTTCCAGATCTGAGAAGTGTTTCTAACAGTTAAAAATCTTTCTAACAACAACAACAAAAAACCTTTCTAACATAAAAATGGCTTTTTATGCATTCTAATGATATCTATCTTTTATTCGGTCTTCATCTTTCTCTCAAAGTATATTAAAAGCTTGTAGTTATAACAATTCTAATGATGTGAGGTTATGATGGATAGATCTAGCATGGCCTTAGAATACTGAGAAATAACATACACTCAAAATTATTTTTTACTTCCCTGTACTGATTTCTTTGCTGAACTCCCAAATACATGCAATAACAGACTGACAGTTGTAAGTACATTCATATTTTCAAGGGTATGAGGGCTGTGCCTTTAAGTTACATTGAAAGTGGCTATACTAAAAATGATAAGGATCTTGTTAGATGTGCAAATCATTCCTAACCTACACCATTGGATCTTTCACCTTCCCACAATCAAGGACAAACAAGATGGGATGTTGGTGGCTCTTGGCTGAAATGAAAAACGCATGGAATGAGCAGAGACAAGATGAATGAATGAAAGATGAAAATATATTTCTTTAGAAAAAATATGCAAATATACATCTTTGTCTTTCAATATGCTCTGTATTAATTTATACATATACATAGGGGAAGCGGTTCACACAGTTTGGGTACTACATGCAATACTATGATAAGGTATTTTGATTTCATCAGCCCCTACTCACTACCACAATAACATCTAAAATATTACAGCAATATATTATCACATTTGTACTAGAGCTGCCTGAAATACACTGTTTTTGATGTTTGTAAACAAAAAATAGGAACATCACCACATAACACTGTGATTGAAAAAATACCTTCATTTCAGTTCTTTCCTTATACTTCATAAAGGAGCTTCAACTACTTTAGTATCCAAAATATGCCATCACTGGGGGAACACAATTTTCTCTGGGTGCACTAAATATGTAACCAGAACAAATCAATGTATTCTTGTCTTTCCACAACGAAATCACTTCTGAAAGGCAGTGGCATAGATGACATAGATGAGACTTGAGATCTGAAGGGGTTCAATGCTGCTCCTCACTTAGCATACAAATTAAATAATGGTAACTGATTGCTGTTGAAGATTCAGAAATCAGTAATGATACTGGTTCATTCATGGATCTTTGAAGATCTTATACTGGGGACATAAAGAGAGATGTGGAAATATAATACTGGGTTTTAATGAGAAGCTCTGTTTTATTTTAATGTGAATTCATATATGTTTAAAGTTGAAGTTGTTAAATTTTTATTCCTCTCGATTTTTGCTAATAGCAGCAAGCAAGAGGTCAGCTACAAACCAATTTGTAATCAGCCACACTGAATCTTCCTGGAAAACACCGAGATCTTGTTAAGCTTTGAAGCTGGGTGGAAGGCAGTTAATGGACTTGTACAGGAGTCTTTTAATTACCAGTCGTAAACAAATTTATCTTTTACTGCTAGATAGCACCCAAGGGCAAGAGGTAATCTGCTTTATAAACCTTGGAGTGATTTGCTTTATAAATCCTGGAGTTTAGGAAAGTGGAAAACTCTCTTTAAAGAGTGTTCTCTTCCACGAAGAATTACATTTTTGGCAGTTTTGTGAAAAATTTGGTAATGGATTCTTAGTGACCTCCCAATTTATAAATGTCAGCGACCAAAGCGCATTCAACATTAAGACCAATTCCTTATAGCATTTGAGGACTGCCCAGGTTATCCAAAAGTAAGCTAAGCATGGAACAGTTCCAGCAAACCAACTTTAAATTTCGTTTTCATTCAAAGTATATCTTCCTGTCAAATGCAGGGCTCTTGTCCTACGTTCTTAGTCATCTTTATGTTTAAAAGCCACATCATCTTGCAGAGGTCAAGTGATTTGTGCCGTTTACATTGTGTGGATGGTAAAACGTGTAGCATCGGAATTGATTGAAATAAAAAAATTAAAAATCAGATTCATAGCCAAATACAGAAATAGTCAATTCAAAATCTAGTGTTAAAATTAAAAATATTGACAGTGATTTTAATTTTTCAAAGGTATAAATGGCTCAAGATTAACAAGGAGCACCCTGTATCTGAACTAGGTCAATTTAAGTGGTATTTTTCTTGGATACCTTGCTTGTACTACTGACATTGGCATTTCAGTCTGGATGAATGATGGAGTTCACAAGTTGCAGTGAGAGACTCTGTTCGTAGACTGTCTCCCAAAGCAATAGTACCAAGAATAACTTTCTTCATATTCACTATGGACAAATTCACTTAATAATTCTTCACAAATGATATGCTCAGCTCCTGGGAGGATGGGGATCACTTTAAATGCATGGTCTATCTTCCCCCAGGAAATGAAGGCTCAGTGGATCACAATGCTGGGGTTGGTTCACATTCAAGCGGACGACTCTTGCTCGATGACGTTCATGGGGATCATTTCAGCACCCTCGTCGCCTTGATTGTTGGCTGGAGCATTCCTTGGTTCCTGGTGGCAGATGTAGATGGGGAGACCGCCTGGCTCGGCAAAGGCGGCAGCGCGGGGAGCCGCGACCACGCGGTTGGTCGGGCGCCTTCCCCAGCGCTGGTTCCACTGGATCTTAAACAGCGCCCACTGGCGCTTCAGGGCGGTTTGCACCTGGAAGAACAAAGGGAGCCTTGTTTCCTTATGACTGTCAGCAACTACCAGAGAGCAAAACTTAGACGCATGACTCTTGGTGCTTATCAGAGGTTAAAAAAGGTTAAATTGCAGATCTGATCTAAAGGACCGAGTCTGTGCTGTGGCCATGAAATGACCACCCTGGAATAACAATGTGCCAATCAGAGAAGTGAATTACTTGTCGCAGCAACAACTGGCAAGGTTATTTGCTATTTTTGAGCAGAGCTTTCTTCTTTAGCTCTTACATACAGTGGATGATCATTGATTTGGCTTCATAATATTACATACATGTCACATTAGGGGGAATGTTTTAGGAAAATGTTACTTGTTGCCATTCATGCTAAGATATGATTGCATCAAAATTTGAACACATGGACAGTTCATAAACCGTAGCATAGTTTTAGATTTTCATGATAATAAACCCACACTACGGATTTATTCTTACCCAACAAAGGTCAAAATGAGGTGTTGCAGATAAAACTCTAAGACCCCCAAAACCTTTTAAGAATGAGACTTGACTTCGTTCTCCTTTTGTAGAAAAACTTCCTGATAAGTAAACAAATTTACCAAACAAATTTTATGAATATGATAAACTATTGAATGGAAGAGACAGAAAGGGTGCTAAAGGCAGGAAGCTGTGAGCTAATAACCATAGCTGCAAACATTACCATGGCAAGGAAATTGACTTTTCTAGGTCTGACTTTTATAGAACAGAATTCAGTTTACTAAAAAAGTTTGTTCATCCTGTGGCCCACAGACTTCTTGAATTTTGGTATAGGTGAATAATACTAAAAACTAAAAGATTATTGCACCAACATCTATTCTACATTTCTGAGAATTTTTATTGCTCAGTATCTATGACCAGCTCACACACAAAATATTTGTTGCCATTTATTAATACATCCTTAATTCAGTCTCCCACTCAGCTTAAATGCAGTTAACACCATGCAAGAGAATCTGGGATAAAATAGAGCATGATCTAAATCATTTAACCAGTTGATCACAGGAGGCTATTTTACTGACATTTATATGGAAGTAAAAGAAAATAGAAATAAGAGAAAAATCTATTGATGTTATGAAACTACAGGAGTAATTAAAGCTAAATGTTTCTATAGAAAATACAATGTTTTTCTGTATATAGTAGTTATAATAGCTCCTGCTATTACTAGTATTTGTTAGATACTTTTAAAGTTTATTTTTTCTTTTCAGGAGAAGGCAAAGTTAAACGATTCGCTGAAAAGCCAGGCAAGAGAGTTCACTGCCACACAGCAGACCAACTGGAAGGTTCAGGCTGGCCAAGGAATAGTCAAAATAATTTGGCAATCCAATAATTTGAAGTGCTAGACTTTTCAAAAGAACCATGCTAAGGGTTTGGGTATGCAACTTTAGATACAATTATATTTAAAAACAGAGAGACAAAAACTTTAAGTGCTAAGGTACACTAAGCAGCTGAAATTTGCCTTGACATAAGTCATACAAGCACAGAGTTTCACTACCACTTACTGACTGATTGCCAAAGGCCATATTATAATCACTTGATTTGAATTAATTAATTTAATTCTCACAACAGTCTTCTTAGAAGGGCACCAATGTTGTGTTCATTTTACAAATGGGAGACTGAGATTATATCACATGTGCACAGTAAGGGAGCTGGAATGTGGCAGAACCAAAGTCTTAAGTGAAGCTTGGCTTTATTTGGGTTGTATTTCTGGCCCTTCACTGCCAAGTTTATAATCTAGAAGCCATTAGATGTCCTTCTGAGGAATTGGGAAGGATGCCAGTGCAGTATCTTTAGAGATTCACTATCTGCAGACAAAGAAAACTGATTATTTCCATGGATTCAGCATCCGTTAAATACCAAAGTTGTTCTGGCTAAAGCTTACTCAAGAGTTTTCGAGGTATCTGTGGCGGGCAGTTAGTTATAAATGTAGAGCGAGTTTGAATAAGTGCCCAGCTGAAAGAAAGTCATTGTTTTTGCCTTACCTGTCCTTTAGATAAGAATATCTACATATACTGAAATACCCAACCCAACATGAAATCAAAAGGTTTGAAGTTGATTTTAATATTTAATGTTATTATTACAGTAAGTTCTCAGCCTTTTCTAATTTTATTCCAAAATCATAATGTATCCTCTTCTGTAGTGATGGCAATCTGCTTCCACTTATGAAGTATACATATGAAAACAGGCCATGAGCAGCATGAAAAGGCACTGCAATGATTGTGCTTTAATAAGGGCAATTATCTCCTGCAGTACTACAGCTTGGGCTTGATGCTGCTTTGATGATAAGAGTTGAATCTGTGATGTTTGGGAAAAAACCCCAAAACTAGAGACTTTTATTGCCCTGGAAAGCAGCAGAAATGTTTTGGGAGGTCAATGGATTAGTATAGTATACGAAGTTTTGAATTATAGAAATTTATTGCTAATTTCAAAATAGCAATAAACACAGATAACTGTATTTCCTCCTGATTTTTATCAAATTCTTTATTTTCAAATTTGAAAAAATGAAACTTTGATCTGTAGGCTTGAAGACATAATTGCTGTACCTGACTTTATTATAATGTTAACTTATGGAAGGTTGGTCTATTTGGGCCTTGGTTCTCACATCTCAAAAACAAAAAGTTATATTGGAATCATCTTGGTTGGATTTGAATATTTTTGGCTTTTTTCTTTTTCTGTTAAATTCATTATAAGCACTTATAGTTATATGCTGCTGCATGGAAGGTGGTATCTAATATTCCCCCTAATTTTCCCATTCATTAAGTCAAAGTCATTCATTGTTTGAAGAACAGGTTAGAGTCTACCTAGAACAGTGTGAGACAAAATGTGGTTTCCAGACCCGCAGCCCAAGATATATCACCCAAGAATTTGTTAGAAATGCAAATTCTCAATCCACATCCCAGATTACAAAACAGGAAATTCTACCCTTGGCAGCAAAGTCTGTATTAGCAATCCCTCCAGGTGATTTTGACGGTTCTAGAATACTGACCTAGAACAAAGATATTATTGCTTAGCTTTGAGATTCCCCCATTTGACTTTCGTGGGTCTCTCGAAATATATTCATCCTCTGTAGCTGTGTTTATATATGTTTAGATCAATCTCTCCCTATTCATACTCTGCCTAATTTTAGAAAATTTGAGGGGAAAAAAGTCTTGACAATAAGGCTTTACTGGGTGAGAGAATTTCTAAATTAAAACTTTGCATATACAGGGACAAGCTTACTGATTTGATAACAGAATTTTACTAAAAGGCATCATGTAGAGAAGTAAAATTTAACATGGGGTGAACCATTTACAGACTAGGAAGAAGAGGTTAAGTGCAAGGCCCCCTCGCAGTCTCCATAGGCATGGAGGCACAAGTGACTTTGCATTTTCTCATTATGGGGAAGTCTGGGAAAACAAGGAGAAGAAGGAAACTGAAGGCTACTTTGTTTTCTTAGGAAGACCCCAAGATAGCACCTCAGGATAACAAGATAAGTTATAGAACATAAAGGTTTCATTTTCTCCCACTCCACTTTAACTTTTAACTAATTTACTTTTAAATTAAGCTGAAAATTTTAAATTCTGATCATCCTTCTTTGATCCATAAATGATTTTATCCACAAGTCACAGACAGTAGTAAGAAACATGAAAAGGGGAGAAAATCTACTGTGTTGTCAGTATTTTCAATTCTAATTTACTCACTGAAAAGAAATTGTGCATTTTCATAGCTGCATTGATCTTTCAAAGGTCTCTCAGATATCTCATAATTTGCTGATGTGTTTTGATAGTCAAGGCCCACACACTTGGAAGAGTTATTGTAGGAAATGGTTGATATTCAAGTATGTTTGTGGATACCTCCTGATTCCTATCACTTTTTAATTTTCCAAACTTCTCTGCTCCTAGTCTACTCATGGAGCCTATAAGGCTCCATTTCCATGAAGGCAACACTGATAACATCTGATAATGAATCACAATTAAAATTTCAGTTTTATCATTACATTGCTGTTATGTTAGTTCCATAGAGCTCTGCTAAAACTCAATACTCAGCCAAGCAACCTTCTGTGAGTGCCCTATCTGAGTTCAGTGATACAAAGGGAGATGTATACAGCAGAATGCCCAGCTGAGCCCAGATGCCTGACATCCATAGGGCTGTGATATTACACTTGGCATAACACACAATTTCTATATTATTAGAAATGTCGCACTTGCACCTTCCTCCAGTTACATGATCGTAATGAAAGTTGAAACGGGTTCTTTACTTAAAAAAAAAGCAAACGTAACATACTCAAATGAACTCAAGTCATTTTCAATTGTTGTAAGTACCCCTGGGTTTACTTTCTATGTCTGAGACTTCCAATGACAGCATCATAAGTAAGACACAATAAATATTGTGATATTTTTACAAATGCTTGGAATCCTCTTACGCATTTCAAGGCTTGTTCCTATTGAATTTGATTTTTATATTAACCTTATTTTGATATTGTTCTAGATGAAAAATTTTATTTTTCATTCCCCCTAAAACAACTCAAAAGACAGAATGTTCACACTGGTGTAGTATCTATGTGGATGATTTAAACCCTATTCATTTATTAGTTTTTACTGCCAAAGATAAAGGAGGTGTGGGCTTACTCTATTGGCTAGCAACCGAAGAATGTCTTGTTTCTATCCTAGATCCCTAGTCAAGCCCCTAGCAATCATGAGTTTTTCTTCTTTTTGTTGAATGAAGGAATGAGATGTTGGATGAAAGAATAAGATATATCAATGAAAAATTTCCAAGTGAGGTTTGTAGACAGGTATCAGGTCACATAGTAGAAAAAATATTTTAGGTACTCACTGGTTATTATTTAGAGAAATAATATAAAATATATTATGTATTCATTGTTAATGATATATTAACAATTTGTGATTTGTCTTGTGTAGAGTTATTATTATAGGACTTAATTTAAAATGATCAAAGTACCTTTACCTTTAAATTTTGTGGTTTTTAAGAAGATATATTC